TTAGACATGCTTTCACATGCTCTTACTCTATTATGATATATGCCATCATCTGCCACCAATGCCTCCCTCCCCCCCGCCCCCCATATAGGACAAACAAACCAAACTCTACTCAAAAGAATTAATGGACCCAAGTTTGACATCAGGACTTAAGACAAGGGCAATATAATATCCAAGGATTTCAGCCTCCCAGGACATTCCATCACAGATCTCAAAGGAGCCATTCTGGTAAAAAAATAAACTTTACCAACACAATTGAGTGAGATATTTCTGAACTTACATATATCAACAGGTTTCAGGTTATTTCAGAAGGTCTCAATAAACACAATGGATTTTTAACACATTACAATTGTTAATTGATAAGGTACTCACCAGGAACCTATATTTACTTAACCATCCTGCCTTTCCTTCTCTTCCCCTACCTCATCCCAATTTAAATCCTGCATCAGTTTAGCCACTTCATGCATCTGATGACGTGAGCTTCAGCTCATGAAAGCTTATGCCTTTCAATACTAATTATTAGTCTGAAATGCTACCAGACTTCTTTTGATTTTCAACCAAGTACTAGAGATTATAAAGGAGAATGTGAGAGGTATGTCACTGTGGACCCAGGTTATGAAACATCTGCAAGAAAACAACCAAGCTCAGAGAACACTAAGGACTCCACAGTTCATCTCTGAGCTATATTCTCTTCTATTGGTAGGTGTCATTCATTCCCAGGCTTCTAGATCTCTTAAACTAATTATTGCATGAATGGGAGATGGGCTCGAAACATTAAACATATTTTTTTAAAAAATGTTTATTTGTCTGTTTGTTTAGACATTCATTCAAGTAACAATGCTCTGTATGGACAGATGAAGCAAAAGTTAAACAATCATTGCTTAAGCCAGGGCTACTAAATTTGAGCTGCAAAGCTCCAGATCACCACTAGATGGCAGCAAGGAAAAATGCTTTTCTTCCATCTACTGGTTGGCTGTCTTGTTTTGTTTTGCCGTCCAGATCCCAGTAACCCTAGCTTAAGAATGCTAATCTTTTTTCTAATATATTTCTTCAAGAGACATGATGCTCACCAGAATTCTTTTTGTTTTGTTTTAATCCATTGTTCTTTCTCTTTCTTCTGATTAATTCTCAATCAGTACAGCCCCAACCTGCCTTTTAATCCATTATCAACGGCTATTTCTCAACAGCTTCCAGCTGTGAATTATTAATTCTGTCAGGAGACAAGCAGGCTTTGACCCAGAGTCCTGAAAAAAGGGCTCCTTTCAGTAAAGCATATAAGCAAAAAATCCCAGATAGATTTATAGTATCATAGCATCACTGAGTTGAAAAGGACCATAGACAAGTTAATCAAACCCCTGTTCAGTGCTAGAGCATCTATTAGAGAATCTCTGACAGATGACCATCCAGCATCTGTTTGAAGACTTCAAGTAAAGGAGAACTCACCACTTCGTGTGGCAGCCTGTTCTACTACTGCTAGCTTATACAACAGGAAATTCAGATTCTAGCCTGAACCTCCTTTCTTATACTTTTACTTTTATTACTGACCACTAATTCTGGTCAGTTAAGACCACTCCCTGTTCTATGTGACATCCTTTCAGATACTGGAAGATTGCTACCATAACTCTCCCCCATTGTCTCTTCTGCAGGCTAAAAATACCCAGTTCTTTTAATTGTTCCTCCTAGGGTTTGGTTACCACGATCTTTACCATCTTGGTAATCCTCCTCTGAACTTATTCCAATTTGTTATTGTCCTTTTTGAACTGCAGTTCCCAGAATTGGACAAAATATTCCAGTACATCCAGATTGATTCCCAAGAAGGACCTATTAAAAGACAGGCCACAAAAACAGAACAAGACAAGGAGCTGCTTTTATTGATTCTGACTGAAGTTCAAAACCTCTATAAGCTCCAAAACTCCTGTTGTTCAAAGCCTTCTTTGAAAAAATAGACCATAATTATGGTCTACTTTTTAAGTAGACCATAATTCTTAAGCATTTCAGTCTGCAGTTTGCTTCCTCCTCATTTTTCTCCTGCTTTTTTTTTTTTTAACTAACTCTTTCACAACTGGGAAAAATGTCTGCCTAATATGACAGCACAATCCACATACAAAAGTAGCAGCAGCAGAATTCAAAAGCCTGCAGATGAACCCAAAATACATCAAAGAATACCAAGCATGCTCAATAGATGTGGCATTACTAACTGTTGGAGGAGGGGGGAAAAGGATGGGGAAAGGGGAATGGAATGGAATGGAATGAATGGAGTTATAAGCAGTGGAACTTCATGCTGATACATTCAGTTGCAAGACTAACCTATTCCTTACCTAGTCCTTAATCCCTCATTTCAGAAGTAGCAGAATCAATTATCCAGAAAAACACAAGTTTCCATTAAATGAAATTAGCAACACCTTCATGAATATCAATGAACATGAATTCTCACACCAATGTGAAACAATTTTCAGTGTCCATTCATTCCTGAGTTTCAAGTGCTTATTTTGTGGAAGAGATGCTATTAAACTGTAATAATTGTTTTATAAGTATGCGTTGTCATTTTTTGTCTCTCCTTCATTTAATAAGCATAATGAAAGTTTTAAAAACATCAATGCCAACTTTAAACAATATCAATATGTGCTTCAACAGCAATAATTTTTATGTGGTTTATTTGGATTATTTATGCCATGCATTCAAAATGATGCAAACTATTTGCACACCTTTACCCTTACTATAAGCTACTTAGAGACTGATATTCAGAAATGCTGATTCACATACAACTAGGGGAAGGGGCATGACAGGGAAGGAAAACAAAAAAACATCAGCACCTTCTGCCATCTTGAAATGAAGAAGTAAACTTAAAACACCACCCAAAGAAATTCTAAGGAACTTCTAAAGGGCTAAGTGAATGAGAAAGATAAAGAAATCAGGTTCTTTCATTGGGGAAGAATCATCTGAAAACTGGAAGGCAGATTTCAGTCCAGCATTATTTTTCAGCTATCCATGTGGTTACTGAGAGTCAACACTGACTGGATGACACATAATCAATTTATCAGTTATTTGCGTCACACTCCCTAATCATTTCAGGCACAAAACCTCTAGCCAAAACTTCCTCTGTGATACGTTGTGCATAGCAGTAGTGACAAATCCTATTTTGGTTTGTCCATCATAAGCTCTCAGCCTGTACATGCAATTCCTAGCTTCAGTGTAGTTCCCAATGGAAGGAGTTTTCTCTCTTGCCTTCCAACCCCCAATCAGAATATAAATGGCTCTCATGAAGTTTCGGATAAAATGCTCAGAGATGTTCTGCCCAGTATTTAAACTGATACAAATGTGGTGATGTGCCTGTCTTTGATAGCTCCACACTCTGATTTTATGTAGACTCTTTACTCTCCACCCTCAGGCACATGTACACATGACTGAGGGATGCAGCCTTGCAAATGAATCTCTGGGGGCAGGGGAATTTTCAGTGGGGGCTGGAATTTCTATGTAGGAATCTACATGGATACACGTGAAGATCTCATGCTGCAAATACTCACAGTATACTGTGCTTTGGGCCAGGGCTACTGTGGCACATGTAGAAAGACACAAAAAACTAAGTTGGAGGTTGCTTCCTTTCTCAGTGAAGATAAACAAGTACTGCTGGTTTGCCCTTCACTGCTGGTCTTCTCTATATACTGAGATTTTGTAATATATCTTAGCATGGCAGCCAGAATTCTTTTTAAAGCCAAGAATATATTTAAGAAGTCTCTGGTGGGTGAAGATTGACTAGCAACACCATATTTGGATGGAAGTGCCTACATTTCTGCCAAATTTTCCATCAGTCCAGTGAGATGGATCTTTGAGATTTGCTTCCTACAGCTGGGTTAAATAATAGTTTATTACCAGACAGCTCCCCTGGGCAGAATGGTCAATAAGGCATTTGGATGAAACAAGTTACGCAAAGGCTTTTCTAATATAAACGACTGAAAGACGAATGTAGAAAAAGCAACAACAACTAAGGCACATTTCAGCTAACGATACTTTGCACATTTTGGCAGTTGTCTCACTGAAATGGAGCCTACTTCCATGTAAGCATCTTTAGGGTGAGGGTATAAATTCAGATAAGTGCAAGAACTCCAATAATTCTTAGATCGCTCCTAAGAACATGGGGAATACAATGAATGCAAGAAATATGGCCCAGAGATCACATTCAGCTACCAGAGCGGGCATAGTCCAAAAGCTTCTCTTTTCAGTCTTTGAGAGTTTGGGCAGGTTTTCAAGTAGAAAAATAGGTGCCTTCCAAAGGTGTAAGGCAGCACTGTAACCCATTTTTTAAAAAATCCTCCAAGAACTGGCTGATGGAAGTTGTTCTTTTATAGCACAGTGTTCAGCCTGCAACACAAATGCTTGACATGGCCCTTAAGAAAACAAAAGTTGTGTACCTCTGAAATATATAGTCATAGATACACACCCACCCACACATTTTGCAGTGCTTTTCAGCCCACAAAGCTAATCTGATCTGCTAATGTAAGAAACTTAAAAATAACAATAAACTATTTAATTTTCAAAATAAGAGAAAACATTCTGGAGGCATTAAATAAAACGGAATAAAAAAAGTTCTTAACCACCCATCTCATTCTAAAGGAGGGAACTATTTTATTTCAAGAAAAAAAGAATTCAAGAACTGGTATCATTTCAGTAAGAGGATTCTATCTCATATCCTATCAGCTGTACAACTCTGGCATTGAAATAAAGAATAAGAGCTGAAGATGTTCACAATAGTCAGGCTAGTTCATATGAAAGTCCTGTAGGCTGTCTATCAGATAACCTGGCCCAAACCTTTAGTATCATCACTTTAGAGATAATAAACAGGACCTATTGCTGAAATCAAAACTTTGTGAAAGAGCTTTCAATAATCACAATCAAGATTATTTGATAAAATTGACATTCAGCATTTTACCCCATAAATTTAATGGCTGGCATTTTCAGATATGCTTTAAGTTTAAATAGGCAAAAATAATCACAGCATTAGTTACTTGCTGAAGCTTCCAGTTTGCGTTTATGAGGTGGGTCTTCAATGATTCTGTTAATATCACCACGGTTCTTTAGATCCACTGGTTTCTCCCATACTGACAATTGCATTGTAGGGTTGAAGAAGAAGACTCGATCATCTCCAGTCCAGACTATACACCTATTTCAATTAATAAACTAGGCTTAGAGAATTTCAGAGACAGTTCAGGAAAAAAAAACCTTGTATTGACTATTCGCTATTCCCGGTAGATGAATGATAATTTCATTCATAGGCAAGATTCACACATTAAGCTAATACTGTGCTTAACTTTGTTTTATTGCACTACATGAACCCAATCATTGCATCTGAAAAACATAGATCATATCCTGGTGTTTTCTGTGACTCTAGGTTTACTGAATAAGCTATAGCTAAATAAACCACTTTGTACATTGCTTGCTGTACAAATAATTGTTTGCTATTTCACATCATTGTTCAGCACAATGGCCAGGAGATGAACTGCTCATTTTCCATGCACCTATTTCTTCAATCAAAGTTGATTTCCATAAGTTATTGGTTTCCTAAGGAATGAAAATTTGCACATTACAGAGCAAACAACCTTATTTGGGAGCAGATTTCATCAGAGGAATAGAATAGGAACAAAAGTCTTAGTCACTTTCCCTGCCACTATTAAGAATACATTCCTCATGGCTACATTTCAATTATTTTAAAACTTTAGAAGATCAGCTATGGAACGGCCACATGATGCTTAATTTGGAAGCTAAGCCAAGCTCCATTGTCCTACAATATCGTTTATACTGACCTGCCATACAGCAGCAAGTTGCAATTTCATTTCAGGCTAACAGCCTGACATACTTTTTTTGCCCCCTAACAAATTGTTTCATTATCGCTACATATGTTAAGAAAATAGTATTTATAATTAATGTTACTTTAATGGCAATAATAGTTCAAAAATAAATACTGAGAGCAGATGGAATGTGAGATTGAAAAGAAAGTAACACATTGAAAACCAGAGATTCAAGATCCATGATATCAGCACAAATAGCTCTAATTGACACAAACACAATTAGATCTTACTCGTTACAGGCAATAATTAATTTCATTTAAATTTATAACTTACAATTATTTGACAATTGCTGCACTCAGAACTGACATCATCATCATTGCACTGTTCATTTTTGATATGTTAATTCTTTATGTTTAAGACATCCAACTGTTATTCTGATAGTATAATTCAAAAGGATACTTATTCCAACAAGATTATTTGATTCTGGCATATGGAAGGTTGTCTTCTTTTTTGAAAAAGAAAGATATATGAAAAAACCTTAGACCCTTAGTCTCGGAAAAAAAGCAAGAGTATCTTAAATATGGAATGACAATATAGTGATTTGTATAATACCTTCTTTCCATCATTCACTGAATTCATAAGGGAAATGGGATTCCACTGTAAATCCAATGTTTACTCCAAATATTTGTTCAGTAATATATGTGGGGGGACTAACAGCTTTACAGATCTGCAAGTTGGCTCCTTCATAACCATACATGCTTGCTGGAGGTATATAAGGATCCTTTATACTCTTACCAAATGGATTATCTTATCTTCAAATGTGGAATTATATTGTTGATTTAAAGATTTACCTACAGCTCATAGACTGAAGTCAAAGGAAAGTAGTACACTACTAAGTTATGTTAGAGTATATATATGCTTATAATAAACCCAGAGAGGATTAGTGGAAAAGAAATTAATCTAAAAGCAAATTACAAAGTTACACACACATATGTATATTTACTTTCATACTTTAATTGTTGATTCAGTACAACAGTATTTAAACAACTATAGTACTTTGGGAATCAAAAATCAAAGCTATTTGGTAAACATTAAACTCTGGAAAATAAAGATTTAAAAATGATTTGGGAAAATGTAAAATGATGTTGCATAAAATTTGTATGTATATTTATTTCAACACAAAGCTCAAGAGGGTATATGGAACCAAGAAAGTTTCCATATATATTCATTTTTCTAGGCTGCCAACTGTCAAATGACTCTGGATGGCTTCACGGACTAAAAGCACAGTAAAATATAAAACAATATACAACAGAGCATAAAATTTAACTGTCATATGGAGGGAAACCACCAAAAAACACAACATACTTCCACTGCATCCACCACTAAAAAAGCACCTGTCTGAATCACCCAGTCTCAAGCCTGGGGACAGCACAAGGCAGGCAAGTGGGGGCCATGTGGATTTCCAGTGCAATCCTCTTCAAAGTATTGTGCAATCTTATTCAAAGGATACTAGATGACCCTGTTTAATTGACGGGACCCAAGCCAGGTTAATCTTGACAAAGCAAATGGGATGAGCAGATACTACAGGAGGCAATCAATCCCTCAAGTTATTAGGCCTAAACCATGTAGAGCTTTATATGTAATAACCAGTACCTTGAATTGCCTCTGGAAGCCAACTAGCAACCAGTGACCTCACGTAGTAGGGTTGTTACATGCATACAAGGAAGCTTGCCCATCTCTACTCATGCCACTGCATTCTGTACCATCTGCAGCTTCTAGGTGGTCTTTAAGGGCTTCCCCATGTAAAACATGTTGCAGTAGTCCAACTGCAAGGTGGATAAGGCATAAGCAACCATGAGGGGGATCGTCTCGAACCAGGAATGGGCACAACTGGAACACAAGCTGAACCTGTGCAAACCCCTTCTTAACAGGAGCTTAGAGTTTAGGAAAACCCCCAAATTGTGCAGAAGTCCTGAGCAGGACAGTGCATCCCCACATAGGATTAAAGGTTTCCACCTCCAGAACCAGGAGGACTAAAAATCCAAAGCTACCTGGTCTTGCTAGGTTGATCTTGAGGCTGTTCCTCCCCATTCAGACCTCCAGACTCCCATTCAATTCCTCCCAATAGCATCCAGACCCAGTGGCAAAACTTTGACAGCATTGTTTGGTTGGTAAAGGGTCAAAATCAGCATACTGATACTCCAAATGGATGGATGACCTCCCCCGGTGGCCTCACATAGGTGTTAAACAGAAGGGGTGAAAGTGTCAAGCCTTGAGACATGCCACAAACCAGTAATTTGACCTGTCCCTTCTTATCAACATTGACTGAAATTGGCTGCACAGAAAGAAGGAAAACCACCATAACATTGTGTTCTCCTGTCCTATATGTCCCCTACAGCTGAACTAGAAGGAACACAGTCAATGGTATTGAAAGCCACTGAGAAATCTAGGATGGGCAGGTTGATTGCACCATTCCAGCCCTGCCAAAAGTAATTCACAAGTGTGACCAGTGCTGTCTCTGTCCTGAGCTGAAATCTGACTTAATTTCTTCTAGATGTGAAAACTTTCAGAAGAATGTGGGTCGGTTATCAAGTCAAACCTATATATATATATGGACAAGGTAAAAGGAGATTAAGCAATGGGAAGATAATTTAATTATCACACAATACATACTTAATGTCTTGAACACATTAATTCCATATTAGCGGAAATAGCTGAAAAGAATTCTTCTAAGCAATTTTCAATTACCTACTGTGTAATAGCTAGTTTCTATTTTTGAATTAAAAGAATAGAGGGGAAAAAAGGAGGAGCTTACTCTATTACAAATATGAATGATCTTAAGTGTACATTTTTCCATAACTGTTGTAATAACATTTGGGGGGGGGGGGGACTTTCTGATTCTCTGTGTTTTAGAGATATAACTCACAGTACTATCACAAGTGCTGTTAATCATCTTCAGAAACGAACATGCATCATTAAGCAAGCTTTTGGTTCACAGTAGATCACAGCCAAGTTGTAGAAAGCTTAAGGAGAAAGAAGCCAAAAGACTATGAATGAAAGCATGTACACCAAGAAGCTAGCATTTGAGAAGCAATGAGAACAGGGAAATAAATCAATTTAATTTAAGTATTTATTATTTAATTGATTTAACAAAATATTAAATCACTGTCTTGGCTAAAATAAATATCTACATGATATGAAACAAAGAGGCTGAAACCTTCTTTGTATGTTGAATGCCACCAATTAATAATAAACAGATGTTGTTACCATCACTTATAGTCAAGAGTACGGATTTTCTCTTATATCAAGTATGATTTTTATCATCCTTTACTCTCTTGGCATATTATCAATTCAACTAACTACCCACTTGCCCAATAACAATTAGTTCTGTGGGGAAGGCAGCTGTAGGGAGCCAGTGGGGAGATAATGTTAATTCTACAGAATTAATGGCAGCCTCTAGGAACAACATAATTCTATGTGGGTAAGTAATGTGTGAGTTATCTATCCTCTAGAATCCAAATCAGAAGTCCTACAAGTTAACAATAACAATAGAGATTGTGAAAGGGACTTTCATGAAAAGTGGAGCCAATGACCACAGTGAAGAGTGAAGAGCCGTCAAGTAGATTGGCTCTTTGTAATTCCTCTCCGGACAAGGAGAGGACTTGAGATTGCCCGCAAGGGCTCCATATAGTTGCTCCTTGTGAGGAGACATGCAAGACAGTAGTTTAAAGAGGGTTTAGAGCTCTGGGAGATGAGGGAATAGCCATCTTTTTGCTCAAACTGTGATCAGCGCCTTCCAAAGGACACTAAGTTAGCACTTCCTTTTCTAATCATTTTTGGAAATTGCTTGTTAACTGCTTTTCAGTTATTAGAAACCTTTGGATGGACAAGTTTGACATACTGGGTGAATTTCCTTCAGTCCTTAGTGAAATAAGTTTTAAATACAGGCTTCAGAACTTACTTACTTACTTACTTACTTATTGGAATAAACAGCAAAAGGGTGATTAAAACTTTGATATTAAAAAGTTACAAATGGACTAAGGCTCCAGATAAATTTGAAATAAGATTTTGGAATTAACTATAAAGAATCCTTTCCATGGGAAAAAGCTTTTGTTTTGAATTAAAAGAAGAAGAAGATAAGATTTAAAAAATTGGACACTAGAGAGAACTAAAGATTTCAATTAAAGGAGAAGAACACATAAACTTGACTTATAATTACAAAATGGAGAAAAATATTCTAACATTAGACATATTGAAGGATATTTTTGAAAAATGGACTCAGAAGTTAATATTAATAGTGTCAACAGAGACATTTGACTCTATGGAGCAACTGTCTAAAAATGTTGTGGAAGAGAAATAAATTCTTTGTGACAAG